GCCTCGATGTAGCCAAACTCCGTCAAGTATGGCATTGTTTTTATCCCATTTAGATTCGTCATGTTGATGCATTTTGACCTGCTTCACCCCGAGGTAATTTTCCACCGCCACACGCAAACTTCCCCTTTAACTCAGTGCGTCATAGTTGCACATCGCTTAGGATTTGTAGCTGCGTGTTTGCGCAGAGTGAAGGAAAGAGGAGACCAGCTGCACGGGCAGGCTGGAAATGAGGTGATCGGTATCGGCAACAAGAGACCGTGATCGCCGATCACCGATCATACACTTTTTCACGGAAATCGGCCGATTATGATCGGTGGCCGATCGATCGGCACACCTCTAATTTCTATATAAGCATTTTTTCTAACTTAATTTCATAATGTGGTCATGAAATGACCACTGAGTGTACTGATTAGTTGTTTGGTTAAACGTTTAGCTAAGACGAGACACAACATACAGCGACCGCCGTGAAGCCCAGGATTGGTTGCAACATGTTGGCAGCATCAGTTTTAATTGATCGGCCATTGATCAGTTAAATGAAAGAAAGATGCCTGATTCATAACCCACAGAGCCACCAAATGAGCATCTATGTCTGCGTACAGCAAGGATCCAGCAGGGCTTTCAGGTCACTTGTCTGAAGCTTCCTTGAATGCTTGTGGTGTTTGTCATCTTTGAAAACATTGAGCTCTTCCAGTAAGAAATCTGAGGAATGTGATGGCCTTATCTACGCTGAAGTTAAAAGAGAAAAACTGGATCTTCCAGTTGGGGAATTTCCGACAAAAAGTTAATTAGTGTCAGGCAGTGAGCAGAAGAAGGACATTTATGACTCATTCAGTATCAACAGTCTCTCACAAACATGAAGCAGACAAAATTGGAAACCTGTTTCTGTTCATGAGTTCACAGACATCTTGATGTTTTAGTTAAAATGTTTTCTTTTTCCAGATCCCTTTGAGCGGCTTCATCTGACTTTGTATTTGGTCCAGATAAACTCTTTCCTGATCTTAGTGAGCTGCCTTTTTTTAACAATGAATCTTCTTGCTCACAGTTCTAATCCTGTTTCAGAGACAGGTAGCATCAGCTATTTGCAGCACTGAAGTATGTAAACATATTTTATTTTGGATTTCTTTTAATAACTGGATCACTGCAGGAAACTAGATTGAATCATAAGCACAGACATAACTTAGCGTTGCAGTGAGTCAGCACTTTGTTCAGTAAAGTCACACTGCAGGAAGGATTTAACAAAGTGAAGGAGTTTTAAAAATCAGTTTGTGATATTAAAAGTATTATTTTATTTATGTTATATTATAAATATTATTCTTCTCAATAATCAATTGAAAAGGTTTTACTGTTAAAGCATCCAGCAGGGCTTTCAGATCTGATTGCTTGTTTCACTGGTATTTTCCCATTTATCTTTGGTGAAGTTCATTCAGACTGGAAGCCCCTTCTCATCATCATTATGTCCAGCTACCTGCATGGATTCTCTCAGACTGAAGATCAGACTCTTCGGGCCGGTTCTGAAATGTGATAACTTCCAATCAGAAGAATATTTTAAACTTAAATACAGCAGGACTGAATGATCTGGCGCTTAACTGTGTTTGGGATCCATATTTACACCTTTGGTTCTCCAGACTCGCAGTTTGTTCAAATATCAGGTGTCTTCATTCCACACTGATCAGTTTCATCCTTCCACTCCACCCATATATCATGTTAATTTACACTTCCTTAAGATTATAATCTAGATTTTAGTTTTCTTTTAAACATTTCTGCTGCAGTCTTGCACAGGGTTGACCCAAAGCTCTGAGATACTTTTTGGGGAGACGGAGTCCATCAGGGAGACCCTTAAAATGACCAGTGACCTCTCAGATTTAGGAAGTGTCAGCTTTTCATACAGTAAAGTCACAGAGGGGAACATTTTCTATCAGGTTGATTCTGCTGAAACTTGTTCCCTCTGTCCAAATAATGGATGAACAGCTTCGTACCTCTTTGTCTTTCAGCTCCAAAATACTTATCACCATGACTTTGCGTGTCATTTCAGATCGTCGTATCCAGCCTGCATGCAGGAGTCTGGCTTGCTTTCCTTTTTCACAGTGAATAATATGCTCTCCATGTAAGTGTTGTATTTTTGTTTCAAAACCTGAAAAGTTAAAGACACAACAGCTGACTGTATTTGTTTTGCTAGGAGCAAAGATGTTGGACTGGTAAATAATAAGAACTTGAAAACTATTTGTAAAATAAATGATTCAGGATCTATTACTGTATAGAGGGCTAAACATTTTTAATGCTAATCAGGAAGAGAACTCTGGAAATCAGTGTTGTGGTACTCGAAGTTAGTCTTGGTCTCGATACCGGTCTTAAGACCATTTTCTGATGGTCTCGGTCTCGTC